CGAGTCCCCATCACGTTCAACCTGTACCTCAAGACTGTGCATAAGAAGATAGCCAGAGAACATGGGATACGATTGGCATACAGAAGATGCCCCACAATTTTCCATATCCTACAGAATGATAAAGACCCTCCCGATCGCACCAGACTCCCCGGAATCTACTCTATCCCACTCCGAGACAACAGACAGAATGCAGACTTATTATACATCAGCTCGACCAAACGTTCCTTGAACACCCACCTATGTGAACACCAAGCGGATATCCGACACGGGAGACTAACAGCCCTGGCCACATATGCATCAGATCCCAAAATCAAAGTGCAATTCGAGCAAGCTACTATTATCATCAGCATGCCCCACTAACAGCATCTTAGGTGGCTGGAGGCCACGGCTATCTACAACGCCGGCCGGCTAGCCACCTGTGTTAACCGGAAGGAAGAGCTAACCCTGTCTCTGGCCTGGCAATCACTGTTGGACGCCAATCCGCTGCTTCCTCCCCCACCATAGAACCGCACATGCCAGAAACGACCCACTCCTTCGGAACTGACATCCGATCCCAACAAATAATATACACTCCGTCCGGGGAATTTCAGTCGACCTGAAGAAGAGAGAAGGAATCGCTTGAAAACGTTTATCAACAGCGATTACAGTATATACGCATCGAGCGCCGGTCACAGGTTCCAGATAGTGCAACGTTGATTTAGGGAAAATTTTGGGATCCTGAAAATAGTCTGTGCTCCCTTTTCATAGTTGCATTGTACCACAATACTTCTAGATGACTGCAGACAGCTACACTTGGTTAGTCATGCTGTCAGCAAACAAAAACAACAAGGCAACCAAGGAAACAAATTCCCTGATTTTTCCTGACTTTTTGACAATTTTTAACAAATTCCCTGACTTTCCATGACTTTTTAGGAACACTAATGTAAATCCCTGATTTTTCCTGACTTTCCAGGTGCATAGGAACCCTGTATATCCAAACAATAATAAATCTAGAGGGGAAAAAATGTTTAAGCTAATGTTTGAACAGAATATTTATCAAATGAATTTCTTTTATAATTTAATAGCAGATTACCAAATAAAAAAGTGTTTATCAAACTGTTAGAAATTATTAATACAACTGGAATAATTACAGGTTAATTTCAACTGAGGAAAGGTCCCTTTGTGCTGACCTTGATAAAAGTGAAAGGGGTTTGTTAATAAATATCTAAGTTTCCAATTTGGAATTGGTAAACTTACAGTTGTAATGATATTTCAGGACTGGCTTTACTCAATTGTACTATTGTACCATTTAATTGTATATATTATACTAAAGAATACAATTAAATGGCGACAGAGGAGTACAGTTAAAAAAATAACCTGCCAGATATTTTCAAAGAACCAATGTTTGAATGCATTATTGACTAACTAAACCCTACCAAACTTTTACACACTTTAATAATTAAAAGCTTCTTTTGTGTATGTAGGTATATGTAGTTTGCATGAGATAAATCCAAATATCTCAAAATCAATGTGTGGTTCAGTTTTTGACTGTTTAAAAATGTTATTTCTGATATATTGGTCTAATAAGTCTGGAAACTCCAATCTTTTAAGATATCAAGAGAAACAAATATAATTTGTTTCAGTATCCTACAAATTAAAATAATTTTCAGACATCATTCACTTGTGTGTTGTTTAATTACAACTAACTGGGTTCATGGAACGGAAGTTCAAGCAAGTCTTTCGTACAAAGCATGTGCATGTTTTTATTTATCCAAGAATACAGTCTATATTAAGATGCTTAAGATCAAGATTAGCAGAATATATCAGCATGAAGGTTGTAATAACATCTAAACTTGTAGCATTTAAAGTTGTATTAATATTGTAAAATTGTGATATAGTTCAAACAACATAATGTAAATAGGTAAATTAATGTGTACATTATTATTTAATTAATTGTTTTTGACAAGTCTGTATTAATGATGATAATATAATAGGTTAATATTAATTTAAGTTTATCTATCTCAACAAAGATAACTAAAAGAAAAATTAAAAATTGAGTAAAGTAAGTCATCCAAAATTTGAATTTATTGAAATTAAGTCATAAATGTAACTAATAATAATTTATTAGTGATAGCACCAATATTATGTTTTATATAATTACAGAAGACAACATAATAACTTTTATCATTTGTAATATCAGTCTGTAAACTGTGTTTGTTACAATATTTTAGATATTTATTGTGTTTAATGCTAAATGTTTAACCTTCAATGATCTAATGAGGGGTCTATGCATCCAAAATGCATTCCTAAAGTTAAAGTTATATTTGAATATTTGAATTGAATTGTTGAATTGAGTTATATTTGAATATTTGAATATTTGAATTGGTTCCTTTTCATCTTGATATGATAAGTCCTATCCAATATAGCCAAATTCTGATAGGCTATTCGTTTAGAATGCAAATCTTTCTTATTACAGAGTATTTTGGCACATTCTCATCAGCTTAATTCTATAAATGGATGTAGGGTAGACTCCTAAAGCTTGACACTACTGTAGAAAATTCAACTTTTCCATCATTCTAAAATTTGAATAACCAGTTTTCTGTATGTTCTGGCAGACATGACCATGAATGCTACTACTATTGTAACTGAAGAAACACTGAACTTATGCAATACACACAAACTTATGTTAGGGACACAGTGTTCTATAGCACCCCCACAGTTCCAAGAAAATTGAGAGTGTGGCCCAGTTCACTAATACACAGTTAGCAAAGGTGCTACACATGGAAAAAGCAACCATCTTGGCCTATCCATACCTGTGTTATTTGCTTTTACCAAGCTACCAAGACACACTTCTACTTGACTTTGTCAATTAAACACCAAATGACAAACAAAAAATTTTAAAAAAAGTGGAAGAAACACAATCATATAAACAAATTGTCAAACTTTGAGTTAAATTTTTTCTGACTGCTACAGTTGAGGGATAAAGTCTGGATAAATGATTGGGTTATGCAAACAGCCAAATCTTAAAATTTACTTAAGATGTAGCAGCCTTAAATACAAACTAAAGATTTTTTTGAAAGTGTGAACATTTTTTTAGAATTCAAATAAAATGGTGATTTTAAAAATGCAAATTTAATGAAACATGTTAGATCAAAAATTGTGTAAAAAGAAAATATGGTGTATTTGAATAACACACTTTGATGATACAAAACTGTTAACATTCTTTAAATAATAATATATAAAAATATTCTTTTAAATACTTTTATAATAATCTCATGTACTTTCCATTTAGAGAGTGAGTATTGAATGTATAGATGCATTACAGCTATTATAATAAATAATTTACAACAGCCCTACAGTCAGTAATAAATCATTGGAGGCAGAGGAGCAAATTAAAAAACTTGACTGGTATTTTTATTTTTTCAGCCAACAATAGGCCTATTAGCTACACTTTAAGTGTAAAAATTGGTAACTGTAACCTACGTTTACATAATGAAAGCAAAAGTATATATTATGTATACTGCTTATAGGCTCTACTGACTATGATGAAGGGACTTAGCCATCATGTAGCTCCCATAGCTACAGGAATGATATATAAATTAACCCTTTGCCTCCGAAAGTACCAATCGATCGTTACCCCTCATTGTTAAGCATATCTTCGAGGGTAACAATTCATCGTTTCCCTAGGAAAAATTGATTTTTATAAAATTTATCAACAGCAGATGTCAACACTTGACAGCACCGTCTTGTCTATCATCTGTTTTACATATTTTTCTCCAGGTTGTGTTTTGTTGACTTTTTACTTTATTTTTATTGGTGATTTTTTTTCTTATATATTTTTCTAATAAAATGTATTGAAAAATACCATATTTAAAACAATAGATATTAATAAATGTACATAATTTTTTTCATAGGAATATAATGATAATTTGATTTTTGGTGAATTTTTAAAATAATATCGCCTGACTGACCTATATTGCCGTAGGAAGGAACGCAAGATAAACGTAAACAAGATGGCAGAGGCAATCTTGTTTACGTTTATCTTGCATTCCCTCCTAATTGTGCTAATTAATATTTTCTTTTGGGGATGGTATTTGCATTTTAAAACAACTCTTGTTTCTGCCAGTCTATTTAAAGATTTCTAAAGTTGACAACCATAATTAAAGTTAAATATTTTAATTAAACAAAGTGTGAGCTGCCAAGGAGATCGGAGGTCATCGGTGCTTCCCCTCACTGGCAACAGGTTGTTGACCTATTCGCTTGTCTAGGATGGCAGTTACATTCTGTTACGCGTTACACGGGTGGAAGAGAGTCAGAGAGGGTCAACGGTAAGACATTGGCAACAGTCGAGTAACGACACCATTCGTAACAAAACAAAGGTTTATTAAAGTCGACCAAAGAAAAAATTACAACTCTAACTACGCTAAATTCCTTTCTAACACTATCCTTCTAATGCGCGGAAGGCTGAGAGAAAGAGTTTACAAATATGCTTTCATACCTCTTGGAAAATATCAGTGGGATATCCTTCTGTAATATCGTCCTGGGTATGTGGTACAAGGTTCTATGATTGGGGTATTAAAGTCCAGCGGTGGCAACAATATCCGACCTCCACACTTTGTCTTCTCTGACGAACGACCAGTGACTCCCCCGAGGGAGAAGGAGAAGTGGCTTTTATAACTTCATGGGGAAAATATATCACAAGACTGATTGTTTGAGGTTCAAGTTGTTGTCAGGATAAAAAAAAATGACGAATTTGGCAGGTAAATGTAAACTTTACACTGTTACAGCGTGAGAATGTGTGGATTTGGACAGGAAGGATTATAAAATTCCCACAAACTCTATAGTTCATTTCTTAGTCACAGGATTAATTAATTTAGGAATTTAGATAAAAATTCGACTTTCACACAAAGAAAAGAAAAATGTTAACAAATGTAAAAAATGAGAACAACATTACCAACAGTTATATTAAAATTTGTAATAGGTTTAAAAAGTTGAAAAATACTCCAAAATTTCATACTCACTGTTTTCTTCCTCCTCTTTAATAATTGCTCTTAAAGCTTGTACTTTTAATCCAGAAAAAGAAAAGTCACAACTTCTAAATTTATACAATGGGAGTGTGAAATTGTAAGCATTAGGATTTCCACTTTCACTTAAGTATTCAATAGCTCTTCCACCACACATTGAAGAACATTCTGGAAGATTCTTAAGCTTTAATCGTCTTGCAATCTGAAAAATATATTATTAAATAAATATAATCCATTTATGCTATTTATCAGAATATTAATTATTCATAAGTTTTAAATATTTGTTCTAAACAATAAGATTTATTGCATTAAAAATAAAGCATTTTGTTACTCATACTTTCTATGAATTTTCCTGAAATAAAAAACAACTTGGAGTAAAAGTTGCATCTCACTAAGCAAAAATATAGGCTAGATGGTGGTATAATGCAACTTGACAGCCTTGGGTGGCATTTTTTCTTTAATAAAACTTAAATAATAAACTTTTCTTAATAAACTTTTCTTAAAAGTAATTTGAATTCTTTATCATAAAAACAAAATGTGTGAGCCTGCAAAGGTGCAAGTTGTAAAGGCATAACAATAAGTTTTTGTTTCCATTATTAATTTTATGTACAATGGGTTAACATTCACAAAGCTTGCCTTGCTATCATTTTATCATCTGGCACTAACAAGAATAACAGATCAACATTTTTAAAAATTTGATATATATTATGAGGCCTATAATTTATGCTATAAATGACTAAGTTAATATAGTTCACAAAAGTAGAATTCATTAAAATAATCAAACACCTTAGTATTTCCAGCAACGAAGTATTTAATAAAAAATATAACAATGTTTTCGACTATTTTTAATAGTCTTCTTCAGTTATGCCACTTTAAAACAAAAACGAACGTAAAATAGAACGCAAGCAATACAACGGCTTAAAAATTTGAAATTAATTACAACAAAATAAAAATAAAATATAAAAACAAAATTAAATTACAATAAAATATTAAGAAAATTAATCGTTGTGATAAAGAATTAAATTAAATAAAGTATTAAGAAAATTAAACGTTGTGGTAAAAAGATTTCCACACGAAGGATAGACTTTCCGCATCTCTATGGTTGATGCATCCTTTGTCAATATGGGCCTTGTAAATTTCAAGTTTTTCAATATGTTTAAGTACTTGTTTGTTGGTGGAGGTCCTAATTATGGATGCTTTGTCCCAATGTACTGTACATTAATATCTTGATGTTTAGTGAAGGCTGCAAGGACGGTACTGTCCAAGTTTTTAGTAATGGAATACGTATGCTCTTTAAGCCTCTGTTTTAAAAATCTCATAGTGGCACCAACGTAAATGAGATCTGAATTAAAATGGCAGTCACTTAAAAAAATAGAATACACTCCTGTACTATTGTTACGGTTTCCTTTCTTCTTATCATTTCGTAGAATTCTATAAATCGTAGGATTACAATGATAAATAATTCTTAAATTATTCTTGTGAGATAATTTTTTAATCATTGAGTGTAGGAAAGGTACATAGTTGAGAACTACTCTTCGTCCTTGTTTCTTAGTTGTAGATTGCTTATGTGTTTGATTGCAATATTTAGCAATAAGAGCATTAATTTCACTTATACGATATTCCTGTTGTACAGCTATTGTACCTATGTAATTTAATTCTCTGTGTGTGTCAAACATACTCGTACAGGTGGTATAGCCCACTTTATCCATGATCGAAAGGCTGCATTCTTAAAATTCCAAGGATCAAAGGAATTCTTCGGTATAAAATAATAAGTAGATAGCTAGGCTTTCGATAAATATCTGTCCAAATTTCACCACATGTACAAGTGATGAACAGATCCAGAAAATTTACGTTAATGTCACTTTTTTGTTTCATTGATAAAGTCAAACCATATGGGTTGTTATTAATTTTGTTAAAAAAACGCTATTACTATTCCTCCAAATGATGAAAACATCATCAACATATCTTGCATATACAAGTATATCATTTATAAAGACGGGCAGTATATTACTTTCTAATCGTCGTAATACTAGTTCACATAATAACGAGGATATTGGGCTCCCATTGGAACCCCTCTTTCTTGTAAATATACGTTCCCTTCAAATACAAAAAACGAAGTATAACAAATTAGGTGTGCAAGCTCTAAAATGTGTTGGTGATACTTCGTTGCATTATTAATGTTAGAAAAAAGGAAGTCTCTTAGCTCACAAAAGCAAGGCGGTAATTTTATAGATGGAAATAAGAATTTAAAATCCTTATTTGGAGTTTAAAATCCTTATTGGAAATATAATTTAATCCTTATTTCCAATAAGGATGGAAATAAGGATTTAAAATTCTTATTTCCATCTATAAAATTACCGCCTTGCTTTTGTGAGCTAAGAGACTTCCTTTTTTCTAACATTAATAATGCAACGAAGTATCACCAACACATTTTAGAGCTTGCACACCTAATTTGTTATACTTCGTTTTTTGTATTTGAAGGGAACATATATTTACAAGAAAGAGGGGTTCCAATGGGAGCCCAATATCCTCGTTATTATGTGAACTAGTATTACGACGATTAGAAAGTAATATACTGCCCGTCTTTATAAATGATATACTTGTATATGCAAGATATGTTGATGATGTTTTCATCATTTGGAGGAATAGTAATAGCGTTTTTTTAACAAAATTAATAACAACCCATATGGTTTGACTTTATCAATGAAACAAAAAAGTGACATTAACGTAAATTTTCTGGATCTGTTCATCACTTGTACATGTGGTGAAATTTGGACAGATATTTATCGAAAGCCTAGCTATCTACTTATTATTTTATACCGAAGAATTCCTTTGATCCTTGGAATTTTAAGAATGCAGCCTTTCGATCATGGATAAAGTGGGCTATACCACCTGTACGAGTATGTTTGACACACACAGAGAATTAAATTACATAGGTACAATAGCTGTACAACAGGAATATCGTATAAGTGAAATTAATGCTCTTATTGCTAAATATTGCAATCAAACACATAAGCAATCTACAACTAAGAAACAAGGACGAAGAGTAGTTCTCAACTATGTACCTTTCCTACACTCAATGATTAAAAAATTATCTCACAAGAATAATTTAAGAATTATTTATCATTGTAATCCTACGATTTATAGAATTCTACGAAATGATAAGAAGAAAGGAAACCGTAACAATAGTACAGGAGTGTATTCTATTTTTTTAAGTGACTGCCATTTTAATTCAGATCTCATTTACGTTGGTGCCACTATGAGATTTTTAAAACAGAGGCTTAAAGAGCATACGTATTCCATTACTAAAAACTTGGACAGTACCGTCCTTGCAGCCTTCACTAAACATCAAGATATTAATGTACAGTACATTGGGACAAAGCATCCATAATTAGGACCTCCACCAACAAACAAGTACTTAAACATATTGAAAAACTTGAAATTTACAAGGCCCATATTGACAAAGGATGCATCAACCATAGAGATGCGGAAAGTCTATCCTTCGTGTGGAAATCTTTTTACCACAACGTTTAATTTTCTTAATACTTTATTTAATTTAATTCTTTATCACAACGATTAATTTTCTTAATATTTTATTGTAATTTAATTTTGTTTTTATATTTTATTTTTATTTTGTTGTAATTAATTTCAAATTTTTAAGCCGTTGTATTGCTTGCGTTCTATTTTACGTTCGTTTTTGTTTTAAAGTGGCATAACTGAAGAAGACTATTAAAAATAGTCGAAAACATTGTTATATTTTTTATTAAATACTTCGTTGCTGGAAATACTAAGGTGTTTGATTATTTTAAGACATTTATATTGCAGTAAGTTATTTTATTTTATTTTAGTAAAATTCATTCTTTAATTAAAAGATTAAACAGTATATTTTATTTTTATGATTAATTAATCACCACTTTGAACAAAGTTTAAGATATCAATTGAAAAATTACATGAATCTTGGATTAGTTTTCAAGATATTTGTTTAAAATGTTCAAACATGGATTTATGGAAGTATAACATATGTAATTAAAACAATAAATATGTAAGCAGAGAGATAAGAATTGACTCATTTTTTATAAGAAATCTCATATGTAACCAGCACAACTTTCAATTAAAATAAAAAGAAGATTCACAATAATTTAAAAAAAAAAAAAACTTTAAAAGTACACTGTTTTTATAAAAACTCTTAAACCTTAACGAAGCAGCCAGGTGATAAAGGATGGGGCTTAACATGTCCAGATGAATGACCCCCTAAATAATTCCTGTGGTTTTTTACCTGTCTGGATTTAATCCTGGGTCCCCGGAATGGTGGGCTGCCACCTTAACTGCTTTGCCATTGATACATAATGCACTGCTATAAAGTTTAATTTAAAATAGATCTAACTGAAATATTTAAAAATCAATATACTATGCAATCAGTATTTTATAATTCAAATTTTATAATTTTCTAAAGAAGTCTTTCATGCAATAAAATATGCAAAGTACTTACTAATTTTCAATTTCACATCATTAAACAGCTAATTATTCAAATGAAGTGGTATGTTCTGTATGATATTAAAAATTTTCTATTATGTTAAATATAATATTAAATTGTGAATTTATCTTTAATTTGTCTTTCTATATCTATTTAGTCTATAATTTTTAATTACTTCTTCCAATATTTTTTGCTATGTTCCACTATACTATAAACTCATGGTGGTCAAACTGCAACTCTTCTATATCCTTATTGTGGTTCCTACCCTTATATACAGTATATACATTATATATATAAAATACCATTCTAATGTAGATGCAGTTCTCATGTAATTCTGATATGATATATGGAAACTATTGTGACAAGGTATGGCCAACCCTTCTATATACCTTATCAAGAGCTTCACCCGGCGGATTATCTAAGTTTTTTCCAAGAAGTAAAAACTTGTCAACTTCTTTAACGACAGCAATTTGACAGTGACCTCCTGAAGCAAGAAGCACGAGGAAAGGAAACTGTATTCTGAAATGAAAAATGAAGGTTCTATGAGTAATAAACAGTAGGAATAAAATAAATTCAATATAAAAAATATTTTTCTGGTGTTATAGAATTAAGGTAAAAAGTTTCCACAATTACTTAATAATTAGTAATAATAAAATATATTTTCTCAGAGAATTAGCCAAGAAAGATTTACAGCATGAAAATAGCTTATACAGAAAAATCAGTCTATGTTTCCAAAAAACATCATTTAATTCCAATATAATATGTATTTATAAAATGCCAAGCAATGATACAGAATTACTCCATGCCAAGCAATGATACAGAATTAGCAACACAACTGTCTATCAGCATTTCAGAGACAATTTATTTAAGCAAGTACTTTTGACAGTTTATAATTGTGCTCTTTAGGCTATATCATCATAAAGAGAGAACAGAATACTACTTTTTGAAAGATGGAACACAAACAGTAAAGAACATTTTTCAAAATCATTCCTCACACACAAGCATGAAATGTAATTGAAATATATAAAATTACAAAATGTCAAAAGACCAGACTACACAATGAAATAAACTCAATAAAAATTATGTCAAATCAAAAAATTCAAAAGTAAATTAAGGCACAGAAATGCCATTAATGAAATGTGATGCTTTTTAACACAAAATACCCAACTTAAGATTTTAGAAGCTTAAATAGCACTACTGTATCCACAATTCTGGGATGTCAAGCATGGGGAAGTTACAAGATGACATTGACACAAAGAAGAGACTTTCAGATAAATAGCATTCTTTGATCGCCACAATGTCTTAGGAGTAAAGTTTGTGACCAAAGTCAATCAAACTTGTCCACTATTACTTGTTTAGCCAGCTCTGCTGTACATCTATTATGCACCACATCCTCATGATGCTCCACAAGATGGAGACAGAGCATTCTAGCAGTTGTCCCAATATACAAAAGCTTTGACCCAGTTAGTGAATTTTGTAAAGGAACAGCATAAACCCAGATTTTTCAAGGAATAGGAAATCACCATTGCAACACCTTTGAAATGTGATATAAACGGTCAAAAGTACTCACTCAAATAAATTGTCTCTGTAATGAAAATAGATAGTTTTGTTGTTAATTCTGTATAATATGCATTAGTTCCTAAACACACAAAATAAGAGAGCTTTTCATTTAACTTTCATGCAAGAAAAAATTAAAAGACAAATTAAATTACTAAAATTAAAAAATAACTAAAATTTAAAAAAAAAAACAGAATTTGTAATAAGCAAGCAAAACACTGTAAAATTACATTAAACNTTTAATCGATATAAACTATGAGTTAAATGTTCTGAACTGTAAAATAAATTAGTTGTCTTTATAATCATGTAATGGAAACAAAATAATTAATGACTTTTAAACAATAGAAAATGTTTGAATTTACCTTTTTTTAAAAAAAAAAACAGAATCTACCCTCTCGAAGCAAAACACTGTAAAATTACATTAAACTATACAAAAGATTGATATAAAATATCTAAATTTTTATTATAAGAAGCATAAAATAAATCACTATAATAGAACTGAGAACATTTAATAATTAATTTAGAAGGTTCTGGAAGAAAATAAACCCAAAGTGGGACTCAAACTCACATCATCAAAATTGAAAATAATTGATTAAATAATATATACATTACATTGGTAGAGGCATCATAATGTTAAAAAGTCATCAGTTACAGCATTTATAAGCTTATGGAAAAAAAAAGGAAAACTGAAAAACTTATATATAGGGAAGGAACTTAGAAGGAATCAGTCAATAAATCATGCCAATCTAACAAAATATTGTTGCAGCACTGAATAGATGATCAACTGTTTACTGACTTTATCAATCTATGTAAGCAAATGATTTAAGTAGCTATACATTCTGGACTTCCAAGGGTGGTGGAAAACATACTATAAAAAGACAACAGTTTCTGAAGAAAGAAGCATAAACCAATGTAGGAAAAAGTAATGTTTAACATCAGTAGCCTATACCATTTTGTTTATAGCCATGACAAGAGAGGATGCATTATAGAATTCACAACTATAAATGGGGTCTAATCATACACTTTTGTTATGAACCTTCGTAGATAAAAAGTTAATCTTCCAGACAAGTGTGATTATTTATCAGGAAATGTTCCATAAAAGCTTCAAAAATGGGAGATTTTATAAAACTTAAGATCTGTGTCCAGTGAACACACAGCATTTTATAAGAACTTGTTACAATGGCCAGTAGCCAATAATATAAAAGATGACTGAGAAGTATGTTATAGGCCAGCAGTTCCCATAGTGTGCACTGTGGCTTCCTCACAGGGACACCACAAAATGTTATAAAATTTTTATAATGTTAGAATTTAATGTGCTTGTTGGAATTTGTATAATGTACTTGTTAGAATTTGACATAAGGTGCCTTGGGAAAATCTGTTTAGCAAGGGCACCTAGAATCAAAATAGTTTGGGAACAACTGTTATAGGCACATATTTTGTGCTGTTTAGAAGTTTTGATGTTTCATAATAAATGAATTTTTTGCTGTTTGAAAGCTTTTAATGTTACTATTAATGTTACTAAAATTAACATATGCATCATCAATGCAAAGGTTATATGAATTAATCATTACTATTCTTGTGCATTGATGCAATAAAATTCTTTAATTAAACAAATAGAAAAAGTTTTTAGACACCTGAATAGTGAATTTTGTTAAAAGGGCATAAGATTTAAAAATTATATAAAAAATTATAACATTACAATTATTGTATAATTTGCAGTCTGATTGTCAAACTGAATTTAATAAATGAACTGACACTAACAAAAGCGCTTTTTTCTCTCACATTCAAATTTAAACACTTTTTTGTCATTTCCCACAAATTTGCTCATAGTGATTGATGCTCTTTTAACAATTCACTATTCAAATATTGTGAGAATAATATAATTTTCAGTAAATCTTTTTCTTTTGTTATTACACTGGCATTCCAACATGTTGAACTTTACCACTGGTGAAAAATATTTGCACTAAATATTAAAAAATAATAGAAACAATTGATTTCTTGAAGTAAGAAAACAATAATATAGATTCTAATTACAGTGAAACATCAAAAATCTGGACCCATCTGAATTTACAAATATACATATAAATTAGCATTTTAAGCACTATAAACTACAAATACACTAAATCAAGTTTAGATGTTGTAAGTTCAAGCCAGTATTTCACTAGGAATGTAGAAATATTTACAGATTCAAAATATAATTTTACAGAATCACTATATTTAAACAAAAATATACTAATTATAACTTTGAAATTAAAAAATTCTAAATTCATGTTAGAACATCAACAATGCAAGGAAAAAAAAAGAAAAGAAAAAAACACACTCCACACACACACAAATAAGTTACCATTGAAAGTGGTTCCAGATATATCCATTTTTCAATGGATGTATCTGGATTTTTGACACTTCATTGTATATTCTTATGACTATTATAATTCTTCTTAAAATTTTCTTTTCAATAAAGAAACTTTTAGGAACACACAGTAAATGAGCAATTATTTATTGTGACATTGTCACAATGCCATGCTGCAATTTTTAACCATAGTTTTAATTTATTTAATTTAAAGTATATGTTTTCCACCTCAAATTGCTAGTGCCCATGTACATCATACTTTTCCTTTTATGCCAGTCATCTAACACATTTTAGGGGAAAAATTTTTTAATTGAAATAACATGACTTACAGTTTGCACCAGAAGTTCATATATAGTTAATCAGTGCCTCCTGCCCTTAAGGTTTCCATATCTGGTTTCAGCTTTCGTCTATCTAACTCTGTTCTTGAGATTAAGGAAAGATGGACAACAGTGGGAATTTATAGGTCTTCAATTTTTTCAAATTGCAGCCCAATAACAAAGACCAACCTTAAAGTGACATTTTAATCTATTATTTTAAGCATTACAAATAAAGTCAGCTGCTCATTACCATCAAACACAGTTCATCACCTTCAAATTTTATATCTGAACAATGGTACACATTGAGCAACATTCCTTATATCAGTAAACAGCCAATGCAGAAGGCATGTCCCTTCTGGAATATATAGATTATTTTCATTGTGTTTTTGTCATTTTGTGCATTTTCTTGTAAAGCACATCTAGCAGAAGTTTATGAACTAAATTTTTTTTTAAAATCCTTTATTGCATCCACTTATTGGTTACAGCTACAGAATGCTCTAAACAGAAAAGCTTCATGGCCACATTGTATATATAATTTACAGTCATACACAAAACTTTATAAGCTATTTCAACTAATTCATTCATATTCATAAATATAGCATATGAATTGAATATAAATACAAACAAAGCATTGTTAAATTAACTTAATAATTTAATTACTTTTTTTTACTTTTTGTAATAAAAATATGAAATTTTTTAAAGATTAACATCAATATGAAGATTCCATATCATAATAAAAAAAAATAGCTATATTATTGCAATTATAAAAAAGTATACAAATTTTTACGTTCAGTACATTTATATTTTTGCCTGAAAAGATTGTTGAAATTTTTAAAAATAAAAACAAACTTACAATTCAGTCATTCTGACAACTAAAGCATGAGCTTCCATATGATGTATAGGTATAAATGGTTTTTCACTCTCATTAACAAGAATTTTACTATAATTAAAACCAACTAATAAAGAATGCAATAATCCAGGCTTCACTGTAGTGGCAATTGCAGATATATCCTAAAAAAAATTTTCATCATATTTAAATAATATAAAATAAAATTGAAATAATATGAAATTAAAAACCATTTTATTATATTATAATATAAACATTAATGCTATGAATTAATGGTATAAGCCAGAATGAAATCTAATAAAAAAAAAAAAAGACAAATTCTAATTTTATCTATTACTTGTACTACTTGAAATCATTAACTGTTTTCTACATTTTATACTCATATGAAATATTTCATTTATTTAAAGAAAAACTAAATTATTCAAGTAACATATTTTATTGCTTTTGGTTTTCCTGTTATCTATTTTATATATCAAGAATAGCTATGGATAATATATCTTTTTTTCCTACATACTTATCACTATATTCTATATAAAAAAAAAGCACCTACTAAAAACAATCATGAATTTTTACTTTTATTGTGTATCATCATTTTGCTTTAATTGGTCTACTTTAAATATCAGCCGAAGATGTGTAAGAGTAATTGGCTTCACTACATAATACAGTAGAGTCTTGGCCTAATGTGGACCGAAGGGTGGCCGAGTTTGTGAAAATGCCGGGTTATCGGGAATGGGGTTAAAAAAAATAAGTATGAGTGCTCTGGCATTCCAACATGTTGAACTTTACCACTGGTGAAAAATATTTGCACTAAATATTAAAAAATAATAGAAACAATTGATTTCTTGAAGTAAGAAAACAATTTAAATATGGCAACTTGAAGAATATAGATTCTAATTACAGTGAAACATCAAAAATCTGGACCCATCTGAATTTACAAATATACATATAAATTAGCATTTTAAGCACTATAAACTACAAATACACTAAATCAAGTTTAGATGTTGTAAGTTCAAGCCAGTATTTCACTAGGAATGTAGAAATATTTACAGATTCAAAATATAATTTTACAGAATCACTATATTTAAACAAAAATATACTAATTATAACTTTGAAATTAAAAAATTCTAAATTCATGTTAGAACATCAACAATGCAAGGAAAAAAAAAGAAAAGAAAAAAACACACTCCACACACACACANTTTTGATGTATGTATGTATTTTGAATATTTGTAGGCCTTGTATGGATCTAATTCAGTGTATTTAGTGTGTTAATTAATTCTGTGTCTATAGTTTCACTAGTTGTAATTATTGTTCATTTTTATTAGTGCATGTTATGTTGCCTACATTTTTGCTAGTAATTGTTGAGATATTTTCAGTGAGTATGTGATCTCATTGACAAATTAAGAGTTTTCATTGTTGAAAAAGCACAATCAAAAACGCAAAAACCGCATCTAAAATAGTATAATAGAAGCAGGGGTTCTTCACAGTAAGCCTTAATCCTGTCCCTATCCCCCACGGGTGGATTTTGACATCTATATTTGAAAGCAATCAGTGAAGAACTTTCGGAGATTTAAGATTTTGAACAAATGAACATTACATTTTTATTTATATAGATTATTTATATTTAAGTCCCAGTGAATGCATATCCCAAGCAGAAAAAATTAGAATGCAATAATAATGGAAATAAATTACACCCACTGAAGCAATTTTATAGTAATAAAATTAAAACTATATGAAATATTTTAAAATAAATGCTTTTATTTAATAAATATAGCAACAATCCACAAAACCTTTTTATAACAGTGTTGTGTCCTATAACAATCTTCACAAACGTTTTCGACCTCCACTGAAGTCTGCTTCAGGTGGTGATTAAACGGTGTCTCCTCTTGACCATTGGAACAATGACGCCTGAGATGTAAATAATGCACGTATCGCGTTTCACCCCTCTGCTTGTCCCAGTTCGAATTCTTCGAATAAGTATCTCCACGCCTGCACGATCATTTCTCTGTCATTAAAGTTGATGCAGGTGCTCCCAATGTTGGCTTTATAAATCTCTCAGGCCTCCAGGAGATGGATGTGATCAATACGAAATGCCTGTCTGAGTACTTTGGTGTTTTGGAAGTCCGCCCGAATTTCAGGGACAGTAACGTAGGCCGACAAGGCGGTGGTGTGCCTGTTATTTTTAATATCTGATTGATGCTCACGTAACCGTTTTTGTGTTGAGCAAATGGTGGAGCCAATATAAACTAAGTCTCTATGGAATCTATCGTCCCTGATGGGAATGGAGTATACTCCTGGGGCCCTGTTGAGATCTATTGCATCCTTGGCATTGCGCAGCAGGTCGTAAATAGTGCCAATTCTCCTGTACGCAATCTTCGTGCGATTGCGGCAAGCAATCTCTCTGTTTATAGTTTTTAAAACTCTTTTCGCCCTGTGGGCACTAAGAGGGCTTTTTTTATTTAGCAAACTCCAAATGGAACAGTCGGGTGGTGAAGAATGGATCACCACCTGAAAATTTTCTGGGGTTTTGATCTCGGGTCCACAAGAGTGATAAGCTACCACTTTGACCGTTCGGCCATTTGGCCAAATTTAAATATAGTTACTAGAAGTCTAAAACTTCTGCATGCATAATCAGTTTAAAAAAAAAGTATGCTTAATATGCTTACTATGTGGCACACAGACTCAAAAAGGTTCGCTATCCCTGTTATAGGACACAGCACTGTTATAAAAAGATTTTGTGGATTGCTGTTACTCAACACAGTGTTAAGATTAGTAGTCGTTTTGTGTTATAAATACAGTGTTAGAAATGCTTTATTTGTCATTTTTAGACAGCGGATTTTAGGCAAATGCCTATTTTTCCCTTAGCATATACATGGCTAAGATTTTGTACTAACTACTACAGTAAACATTTCTCCAATATCAAAAAACTTCTGGCCACTTTAGCGGATGATGCAATTTGTGTAACTAAAGCCAAGAAAATTTTGAATGACATTTATGTTCATAACAAGTTGGTGTACATCAAGTGTTATTTCACATTCATTGCAGATACTATTGATGCTCTTGAAAGTAGTGGGAAACCTATATATGAACAAATTGATCTCTTCAACAGAGCAAAGCAGAAACTTTGTGATGCACCAGGCACTGCTGCAAAAAAAGTAAAGCAAGAGTTGAAAGCAGTGCTTCAAAAGATTACTGGATTAAAGTGCTTGTTTGTTGTGGCTGATATTTTGACAGGAAAGAAGAGCAAAACTGAAAGTGAATTCCCAGTTTATCTTCTTCCAAGGTTGAAATACTGTCCATTACCTTCAGTAGATGTGGAACGCTCTTTCTCTGCATATAAATTAATTCTCAGTGACAAACGTTGCAACTTTTCTATTGAAAATTTGGAAAAAGTGCTTGTAATATATTGTAAAGCTAACAATGGAAAACAGAGTAAATAAATAATGTAAGGACATTGTGTGTCTACTTTTGTGTTTGCATCATTCTGAATAAGTGTATTTCTGTTTGGAATAAATATGTTAAACAAATAATTTATTGTCCTGATAAGTACATTAATTGTTCATTGTGCAAATTTTGACCACTTATTTTTTGTTTATAAAGTTTAAATGACACAATTTAAGAGCTTATTTTAAGCACTTAAAACACCACTTTTAAGGGCCTAGATGTCCGCTGTCTAGTTATTACAAATACTCCGTGTCTACCAGTAGCTGCATGGACAACTTCTAGATTATAGTAAATTCTTCATATACTTTATGTAAAATATCTACATTGACAGAAGTCACAGCACTTATTCTGTTTTTTTGGCTCATTTAGTTCACGAGCTAAAGGGGAACAAAACCTCTTTCCTTCATGTATCCCTACAAGAAAAAAAACTGTATGGGATCATGTCTAGAGATAGTTCCATGTGCCCTATCCATCATTGAGGCAGTGTGTCATTGAGAAATTGTTGTACATTGTGGCATCTAGCAACAATTCTCTAAAACTCTAGGCCATGCCCATTTAATCAACACATATTTCCTTCCCGGAATGTCTCCTGTTTTGTAATTATAACACACTAAAATCAGGTCATTTTTTTTAATACACCCTGTATTTTAATAGTTGTCCATTGCACTTTCAATATGCCACATGCTGAGCAGTGGCCTAAAAATGACACCTAAGTCAACCTAGATTCTAGGAGTCCTAGACCTCACAATTATCAAAATATTCATTTTACTCAAAAACCTCGTAATTGATTTCAATAGTACTTCCAAATCTTATTACTGTATATTTAAATTCAAAATTTAATTTTAATTTTCAAGTATTTCATTAAATACAAAAAAATTAGAATATAGGTTTATAAATCTAAATTTATAATGTATTAATCAACTATGAATGCATTATAAAAGTTATATTACATTAGTAAGTTAATTATCAGAACAATACTACAGATCAGAGGTGGCCAACAAGTTAATCAGCGCATCATTTTTGGTCGATCACAGAAAATGTTGTCTGTTAAAACACAAAAAGTCACAGTATAAGTTTAATAGAAATATTAAGTCCATATTTTTCATGTAGATATCTTTTAACTACTCGTAATGGATTGGTAACACTTCATGACAATATGTGATTAGTAATTACTTTGTTGCACCCTAAACAATTTCAGTTGAGTGCAAAATGAGTGAGCCAAAAAGGAACAAAATTTATGATTTGTGTAATGGAAAGAAAATTTTATTTTGATATGGTATAAAATAAATAGTGTCATTTAAGTTATGGTTTAGTGTAATTACAAAAAAAGAGATAATCTGCAATGTTAATTATCATCCAATAAATAAATATAACTATATTTTTCAGAATAATTTTATTTGGGTGTATTATTAAGTTTTTATAGAAGAACAGAGATGTGAAGTAGATCATTGATGCATTTAAATAATGAAAGTTGATCACAATAAGTTGGCCAGGTCTGCTATAGATAAACATTGTTCACAACAAAATCATCTGGTGACATCTATTTTTTCTCTAAACTGATGAAAGTTCATAATGCTACTCTTACAGAATTAGAAAATAATTTACATTTATACAAGCAAACATTAATTAAATGGATATAATAATCCAAAATTATGTAATTTGCTTAAAAAATAACAATGTAATGAAAAAATATTTAAAAAATATCTTATATAAAATGTTACAAATAAAATTTATTTTAATAACATAATTTTTAATAAATATAAGTTTAATGCTAAGTTTCATTAATTTATAAATTGATCTAATTAAATTTTTCATTTTAATAAAAACTTACTTGCAAACTCATGCCACTTTTCTTTAATGTATTAGTAATTACATATTCTATTTGGTCTTGATGAAGAGATTTGGCTAATCGTGGTATAACTCCTCCATTGCTAAGAAAAAAAATTAATACCGGTAATAGTACACTTACAATTTCTTATTCAGTTTAAATCAATATAGATTAGGGCAAACAATTTAATGCAGTGAATGCTGTCATTTTAACACACTTAATAAATCTGTATTGCAATAAATTAAAAACTAAGTTTATTTTTTAAATCTAATTATATCTGAAACTAGCAAACAATGCCTAGCATTGCACAGGAAATCAAGGAGTTTAGTTGTCCTCATTATAGAGGAGCATGTGTTTCACTTAGTGTGGCAGAGAGTAACTATGCAAAATTTGGTGCAAATCAATCAAAGAATTTGGCAATTTGTGGGAATGAAATCAGGGAAAGGAGTGAGGGTCTGAGTTTGAAAGCAACTTATATTTTTTGGAGAATTGTACTATGCAAAATTTGTCAAGATTACGCAAAAGGTTTGGGAGTTTGAGGGTAGGGGAATAAATCAGAAAGGAGTCAAGGGTCCAAGTTTTATGGTAGCCCATGTTTCCCATAACTATATGGAATTTGATCCAGATCAATCAAATAGTTTGGGAATTTTTAGGGAAGATCATCAGCAGGAAAGACTGAGGGATCCAAGTTTTAAGATAGCTTACATACATTGGATGTAATAAGGTTTCCAATCGTCCCTTGACATGATGTAATTCGTGACAATTGTGACTTTCTTTTAGGCATTTTATTGTTGATAACACTCATTTGGGTAAGATTGCAGATGTTGACACTGTTGGGATCTTAACAGTGCTGTAGAGCATGCCCATTGAAGCAAAAACGTCAAAGGAATCATACCTCTATATGTGACTCTGCAAAATATAGCCCGCCAAAATCAGCCTACTTCCAGGCACTATAGGGAGTCATGCTGTATGCTTTGCTAAGCTTGTTGCACATTTAACAGACAGCCTAGCAAGGTGATCAGACATTCTAATGATATTTGTCAATAAAGAATAAAGAAAAACTGACATGCAACCTTTTGTCAGATATTTACCTCCAAATATGAATCCCAATGGCAGCAGTTCCAGATACCATCTTGCTTATGGATGTCACATTTGCAAGCAGGTTATGTTTTAAGCAGTGGTCACATGTAGTGATTTTCAGCAGTGCAGGAGACCGCAACTGCATCAAACATGAGTTGCGTGCATCTTATTGTGGTCACATTGTTCGTTGGCATTGCAACTCAGAAACATTTGACCCTATAATAAACCGATAAAATTACAGCAGCTTGTTTTTGACTACTTTCATCAGTTTATAGACAGTTTACATTCTACTTCAGAGTATTTATGGAATTTTGTCCACTTTTCTTATTAAATGGCAAGCAGTTCCTTTTCTGCAATGAATAAAAGAAAAAAGGTGATCATTTTGTTAGAGCTGGTGAGAATATATAAAGAGAAAAATAAGAGAAAATGTTCATGCTGGGTTAAAACTTGACAAAATGAAAATCAATAGGCTAAACCAGCGATTCCCAACCCAGGGTATGTGTACCCCTGGGGGTATGTGATAGGTTGTTTAGGGGTACAGAAAGAAGTTAGTTATTATGGAAGAAAAAATATATTATGTATCACAAATTAATAGTATTAAAAAATATTAGGTAAAAAATGTTCCTTGCAATAATCACAAACTTTATTATACATTTCAAAATGCACAAATAGAAATAAAAACTTATGCTGCCAATTGTACAATGCAACAATTGCAACATTTATTGATCCGTTGATCAATAAATGTTGCACAGTCAGTCAATGGTACAGTAGTGGAGATACCATTATGCATGATTAGTGATTATGCTATGGACTTTTGATGGTGGGGTATGTTACCGTTATTATCTCTCAACAATATCCCCATGTGTTGTTTGAAAATATGTAGTATTTTTTATTGTTACTGTAGGAAGGAAAAGGACATAGCTAATTTCTCCAGATTTTCTCTACAAGCGGTAATTTTTTTCATTATTTATTCAGTATTTTTATTAATTTTTTATTGACAAGACATAGTCTTGTCAATAAAAAATTAATAAAAATAAAATTGTACTGCCTGCTGTGTTACCACCTTAGAGGTATGAATGAATAAATGTCAGAAGTTGCAATTTGGCACAGAGTATTAGGTGCCCAAATCATGCGCGCATAAAAAAAACAGACTTGTAGGTACTCAGGGGACCGAGAACCAAGTCAAAATAAAATTCAAAGTGGCGACACTCTTTACAAACAGGCAGTGTGAGATTTGCACATGCGTTGCAGGTTGGGAACTTGGAAATGCCACGGGGGGTACGCTAATGAAAAAAGGTTGGGAATCGTTGGGCTAAACAATCATGCTTCCACCAGTTGATGAATGAAATTAAGGCTTTCAGATGCCGAAGGTTATCAGGGATATATCCGTATGGATACAAATACTTTCTAAGTATTTTGAGGAGGATAACCACCATAATAGCTAAAGAAGATACACATCTATATCTATATAAATATATAAAAATGGACATGTATGTCCCTATATTTCACTTTTTCGCCAAAACTACACATCGCACGTGAATGCTGTTTGTATGTGGTGGTAGCCCCAAGTCTCCTTCGTGCATAGGGGTGGTTGCGTCTCGATAGCTATAAGGGTGCGGGAGATATGAGGCTAAAAGTGGTTGAAAGTGGCTTTCTATTTCGAATGTTTTGTTCGATTTTTTCGAATTTGTTCGAATTAAATTTGAATTGGTTCGATTATAGAACGATTGAAAACGTTGAAATTTGTTCATTTGACTAAACGTAAAAATTCTCTAATTAGTCTGGAAACAGGGGACCTAATTCTTGCATTTTGTGAAAACGGGTAAGATTAGCTATAATGTAATTATCTTAATCTTCACTATCGTTACTTTTTGCCCAGCAAAGCAGGTCCTAGCAGCTAGATTCTAGATTACTTAAAAAAACAGTCTTTTATATGTATAAAAAAAACTATACTATTACATACAAATAAAAACCCAGCGAAGCGGGATCTTGCAGCTAGTAATAAAATAAAATCCGACTTACATAAGCCTGTAACCGATGTGAAATGGCAAAAATTCTAACTCACAAACGTTTTTGCCGTTTCACATCGGTTACAGGCTTATGTAAGTCAAATTTTATTTTATTATATCACCCGGTGTGCCTGTTGGAGTTATATATTGAAGATACACATCTTTGAAGTTCTATTTCACCCAGAGAACGTCTTTCATTTACATTTTGTTATTTAGTGACTGGTAAGAATAATATATATATTCTGTATTTAATTTATATTTTATGCAATCTTTAAGATTAAAATGGTTCATATATAATTTAGGCAAAACATTATGTAGTTTGGCATACCAATTTAGAGTGGCCCATAATTTGATATTAGCCATTATCCCAGAAGTTTTGGATGCTAAAACTCTGCAAGCCTGGAATATATTATACAAAAAACATATAAATGAGAATTTTTCAATTCTCTTAAAAATTTAAAATAATATTTTAAATCAATTAAATCAAATTTAAATTTCTCCAAAATAATTTTTTAAAATCCAGCCCTGTGTCCCACACAAAATTATTGACGTTTTAAACTTTAAGGAAAACTCCTTTAAAATTAACAGCATAACTTCTTCATATAAAACTGGACAATTGGGAAACTTTTGCACCAATTCTTAACAGTTGAATCCCCTCTTTCAGTTGGTTATATTTATGAGTTTCTCCGAATTCTGATTTCTGAATAATCATGTTTTTCATGCGGAAATACACGAAAACTTATATTGAGCTTCCATATGGCTTTTTTGTTTATAGAGTTTTTTAAATGAGTTGCCCCTCAAATATTCTATGTGTTTTGGACATGTCTAGCATGTAGGTTTCTATTGTAAATAAAATTAAGAGAGAAAACGTTAGTGTATTGCTTATGTGACATTTTATTTTGAATTTGTTATCTTCTTCAATGGATGATGTTATATATGCTATTAATATAAAAATCTCAATGACGTCAATAACAGCGTCGATCTTGTCAAGCGCAGTTCGAATTTATGTAATAAAACCACTAGGTCTGTCCTCTTACTCTTATACACTCTTATCCGAACATAACAATAAATAACCATGAAGTCATTGTTTTGCTCGAACATTAAAATCACTTACTCAAGGTGAAATTGTTGCTGTGAGCGAAGAACATCTGAAATGATGTTACCAAATTCGTCAACAATTGCAGCACCTGTATCATCGCAACTAGTTTCGATACCTAAAACAGTTCGATATTTCCTTTCAAAACATCTAAACGAATAATTAAAACCTCTTCCACATCCTGATATAAAAATTCGATTAACTGGAATGAGCATTAATAAGTCTAGCTGTAAATATCAAGATTAACAAGATTATAATCAATTTCAGTAAACCAAACAGCAACACGTGGGGAAAAAACGTAGCGCCGCCACAGTTAATCCTACTAATGTAAATTTTTGTTCAAAATATTTAATTATTAAAATGCATTTAAAGTAAAATTAAACGTTGTGTAAATATGTTAAAATTTTTATTGCGAAATAAAATATTAAAAGCAATATTAATAAAATACCGTTTGTAATTATAGGGATACGAATAATTAATTAAAATAATCTGATGTTGCATTACAGTGGGTACGTTCGTAAAGTCGAACGAATTAAACGAGAATGACGTCACCGTTATTCTTATTTAGTTAGCCTTTTCGAACGATTCGTTTATAACTAAATGAATGTTTCTAAAATTGAAGATACGAATGTTGTTAGTGCAGCCTTATCCGAAATATTTTTCTTAGATTGCTTCGGATGGACAGTTATTCTAATCATTTCACCTTTTAATTCACAATTTAAACACTCGAGTAGATTTAGAAACATCGATAACGTCGGCCGCCATTTTCTTAACGAAGTGAACTAACTCTTTCCTTCGTGAACTTCGTTAGAGTTTCGTTCGAAACGTCATCACCGCAGAGCATGCGCACTGAGCGAGACTACTACTTTTAAAACGATTCGTTACTAACGCGTTTAACTCGTTCGACTTTACGAACGTACCCAGTATAGAGGAGGTGCAGTCACGTGATATAACGTCATCTCTCCGCCCACCAAAACAATCGTCCGCCATATTGGTTGCTGATTTGACGTTAAGGTGTGTTATTTTCTGTGTTACTTTGCTCGTTCGCTTATTATGTCAACGTGGAAGAAAGGCATCTTACCTGGCTATCAGTGGCGTGCCGTCATTAGAAGCGTTGGAAGCGCCGCTTCCCTCGTATTATCTAAAAAATAAATAAATATTAATTTTAATTATATGAAAATAATCGCACAATATTTTATTATAACCGCATTATGTACAAATTTCTATACTACACGTGGAAAAAAAATTGCTATTGTATATTAGAATATTAGTGCCGGAGTGGAATCTCCTGTATTTTCAGATTACGAAAAGCCAGATTTGCGCATGCGCTTTACAGAGCACCAACCTCACCCGGTTTAGCCGGTGGAAGCTTACGACCTTGGGCAGAAGCTGCACACATATAAAGATTCCAATTCTATCAAGGACCTGTTCTGGGCTGTTAGCCGCCTGCCCACTAGATATTTCGATTACGTGAATAACGAGTAGATTTATAACTTAACCCAACCGATAAGAATTTACTGCTATGTTTTTATGATAGTTCTGTATAGTTGACAGGAGTTTAAAAAATCCATTAAAATATTTGATATATTTATTCCGCTTTCCGATTTTATATTACTCACGGATTTCGATGTTAAACCAGTGATATTACGATTTCGTACATCCCATCTTTAAGGGGATGTAGAAAAAAACGTGTACAATTCTTGTATAATGTAAAAAAATTAACCGTTACTTTGACAGCATCATTTACAACTAAATTTAATGAATGAGAGAGATGCACGAGGTACAGAAAAAGCTCTAGAATTTATTTTCCTTAAATTTACGATTTATGTATCCGGTTGTCATAAAAATTTGTCTTTCCACTTTTTTCCCGAGACTACAAATATTCGAGTACAAAGTAACTGGTTTCGACTTATTTCTACTTAAGAAGTAGTTAAATAATTAAGCGATTAGGGAATTGGGGACATAAACAAAACCCTGATGAAAGAGCCGGAATATTACTTAAACAAAAGCTTAACCGAATCAATCTATAGCCAAGTACAGTGGGGACTGATTTCTTTGAAATACTGTATTAGATATAATAAAGACAGAAATTTTTCCAGTTCGACGAGAGTGACCGAAAAGTCGTAAATTTTGGAAATTTCCGTGGACAACACCTGGTCCTAAAACGAATTAGTTAGAAAACAAAAGACGGACAATCTATTAAGTTTAACGTATTTAGATTTTTACAGCTATGATGAGAAACGTTTAAAATTTACAACAACCCTGTCGGGTCCTTTGAGATATACTAGTGATACGACAAAAGACGTTAACCGGTATCGGCACCTTCGGGATTTCGCATGCATGCATGCACCGCACACCTACCAAGATCGTCTCTGATTCCATCCATGAGTCACTGATAGGGAGCACTTTTAACTAAGTGGATTGTTTTAATATTTAAAAAGTAAAGAATATCTTATGCTATTTTTATGTACGTTTCTTCACAAAACTATATTCATACAATCGAATATTTTGTACCAGGTATGTATAATTGTGTATCGATCACACATTTTATTTTAACAAGTAAGTTTTTATACTGTAATTTTATTTTTAATTTTAGCCCTTATATTATAGCTAGCAATTTAGAATGTAATTGCGATATTGAAAAATTTATCTCAAAAAGTTTTGGCTCGAGACCTTATAATGAAAAAGAAAACATTATTAAAACAGAAAGACCAATGCCTAAATTAAATATAAATACGTCAACAAAAAATTTGTTCGACATTTTCACGATAAAATTTATGAAGACATAAATAAATTGGCTTTGTGGATGCATAAAAATGCAAAAATTGTTTTGTTGGCCTTGCCTATTACTTTTAAATGAAATTAGTGTGGAATAAGAATGGTTTTGACGATTAAAATGATTTGAGTAAAGCTGGCAAAAGACACGAAAATCCTAAATCTCGCATCGAATCTTTCGTAAAATTGAAGCAATTTGGAAATCAAAATAGAATTTAACATTAGTACACAATATAAAATAAATATTGAAAATTATAACGAGATAGTTACGGCTAATAGATGTATTTTAATTAGTAGATGTTATCGAAGCGAGAATTGACATTTAGAGGGCGTAGAGAATCTATTAAATCTAATATAACAGAGTTAATTATATTGAACTTGCTTATTTATTAAGTGCGTTAGATAATCTATTAATTAAAAATACATTTAGAGAAGTCTTTTACTGGCTTATCGAACAAACGATTGCGAATGGACCCTAGACCATCACTGACTGATTTGCCCCTGGAAGTTGGCTTGTTACAAAAACACAGCTTCCTTATCATCAAATGTCACGGCACGCCCCTGCTGGCTATGCAGCCGATTTAAAAGATAATGATTTAAAAGAAAATTTCTTTTATTGGATGGGATACATACGAAACGAAACTGAGGGATTTTTCATTCAACGATTTAACCACGTGGTCTACTATAGAATATGGAGACAGTAAATTATTTAGTTTTAACAACTAACGCTGTCACACAGGATCAGATGAAGGCATACAAATCACTTGTTGCTCATAATTATTTGACAAGCGGAAATTTTATCAAGAGACGTCGTAATGATTTAATTTTGCTTGTAGGAAAGTTATATATCTTCATGTGAGACCTTCCATTACTCATAACATAAACTGCGTTATGTAAAGATGAATTTAATTTTATATTTAGTCACATTTTAAGTTGATTAAGTTGTATTTATAATTACCATCAAATTTTTTCTTTTGTCCCCATGGTTTTGTGTTGTGCAAGTCTAACAACCTATTATTAAGATTAAATTAATTAGCCTGATAAACCCTCCAATTTATTATTGCCATATTTATCATATTAGGGACTGACTGGAGCAAAATAGACTAAATTTTTTACAAACAATAGCCTTTAATTAACCACATTCAAATTTTTAGTAGAATGCATTTCAAGCATCTCTATATGGATGTATTAGGCTAATTAGTTTAATCTTAATTTATGTTGTGGGCTAGAAGCGTGATTTAATAACCTATTATTGTTTAAATATATTATTAGAAGTAAATAGCACAGTTTCTTACATTGTTTTTGTACACAGGTTAATCACTCACAAAATCTACTGCAGCCAGCTTTAGTAGTGTGGTTTTAGCTAAGAAAAATGGAGAGGTGATAGATAATTGGGCATTGCAATTGCATGGCTGGACAATCTTCCTCCTGTTCTCGTGTTGGTGCTATTCTTTTTGCCATTGCAGAAGGAATTAAAATAAGGAGCTCCCAGACATGTACTGACCGACCAAATAATTGGATTGTTCTACATGTAAAAGACTGTGGTTTGTAACCACTACGAAAAATAAACTTTATGTCAGCTGCAACTGCAAGCAAACGGCAATGCCTTGAAGAAGAAAATATACAGAAACCTTATTTGTCAAGTGATAAAACTTGGAATACTTGTATAAACAAACCTAGTAAGAGAGAATTTGAGCAGCTTTTTAAAAAAATTTCTGTTCATAATCCAACTGCTGCAATTTTGTCAGTAATGCCAAGTTACTCTAATTCTTTTACAAACCATGTCAATTCATCTTTCCATAAGAACCTACTTACAACTCTATTTGATGCAAACACGTTTATTATCCGTCATAGAGGAATCGGTAAAGTTTTGCCCGTTAACTCTGGCAAGCCATTCCGTTCGCCTTTGCAGAGAAAGATCTTCGGTTTTTTTTACCTTGATGGTTAATTACTGTAGGAATTCGAAAAAGTGACCGATCTTTATGCTTTCCGCGGTTGTAATCGCAACCAAATACTACGCAATGAGCCATAATAAATTAAAATTGAAAAAATATGAGTTAGATGACAATATCGAGGTCGACAACCAAACCAACAGCAACCAATATGGCGCGCGCTTCGTAAGCGGAGTCGTGTGACTACACGTGCACCCCCTCTATAAGCAAGTGTGACAGTTTGTAAGTAGTGCACCAACTATATAAAGTTTACCAACGGGCTGAAGAAACAATTTTCCCAAATACCCATTCCACACATTCTCTTACTGAACTCATCTTCGAATTAAATACTTGTTGTTCAGGTATTTACTAGCACCTTAGAATGAATTGCGGCCGGATGGCCGAGCGGTCAAGGTGGCAGCCTACCGCTTCGACTGAAATAATTAAATCCTAAATATGCGGCCGGATGGCCGAGCGGTCAAGGTGGCAGCCTACTGCTCTTGGGGACCCAGGTTCGAATCCGAACAGGTCGAAAAGTCCCCAGGAATTTTTCGGGGGGTGGTCCGTTCGGATATGTCGTGCCCCATTGTGGGCCTGGCCGAATCCATAATGGACTTGCAAAAAGAGGCCCTCTTAGTGCCCGCAGGGCGGAAAGAGTTAAAAAAAAGCACCTTGGAATGGTGTAATGCAGGGACGGCGAACCTTTTTGTGTTCGCGTGCCATGTTGTAAGCATTCTTAGCTTTAAAGATGTTTATGCGTGCCAAAGTTTCAGACTTCGAATAACGATATTTAAAGAAATTAAACGAATACGCCATAATAATAAATGTAAAACAGCTGATTGAAAGAAAAGGATGATCAGGTAATAAACCGAAAAGATAATTGAAAAAGACAGAAATCATATGATACATTACGTGCCAGATGATTTCTCCTTGCGTGCCACAGGTTCGCCATCCCTGGTGTAATGAGGTGTTGACGCAAAGGATAACCAGAATCTCCGTATAAAAAATTGGATCCCGTTCCCAGAACAAGGAATTGCAGCCAAATGCTCTAACAAATTATCAATAGATTCTTTTAAACCACAGTAGCATAATAATAAGTAATTTCTTATTACAAAATACATACTATAGTATATTATGATATATCACGTGACCGGACATCACCGACAAACGTCACGTGACACTCTTCGTACTCGTCCGCCGTACAATGTTCCGCTCCACGACGAAAACAAGGTTAAGCAATGGCTGCTTCCACCGTGCAGAGTCGGTAAATAATCCGATGAGTTTTCGCTTATAGCTCTTATTATACGACTCGCCCCCAAAAATTTCTGTGTTTACGACATAACTACTAGAGAGGTGTCTTAAGAGAGCAAAATTACAAAAGAAGGCCCCATGCAGTAAGGATAAACTTTTACCGAAAAAGCTCTAGAATTTATTTTCCTTAAATTTACGATTTATGTATCCATTTGTCATAAAAATTTGTCTTTCCATTTTTTCCCCGAGACTACAAATATTCGAGTACAAAGTAACTGGTTTAGACTTATTTCTACTTAAGAAGTAGTTAAATAATTAAGCGATTAGGGAATTGTGGACGTAAACAAAACCCTGACGAAAGAGCCGGAATATTACTTAATTAAACAAAAGCTTAACCGAACCAATCTGTAGCCGAGTACAGTGGGAATTGATTTCTTCGAAATATTAGACATAATAGACAGAAATTTTTCCAGTTCAACGAGAGTGACCGAAAAGTTGTAAATTTTGGAAATTTCTATGGTCCTAAAACGAATTAATTAGAAAACAAACGACGGACAATCTATTAAGTTTAATATATTTAGATTTTTACAGCTATGGTGAGAAACGTTTAAAATGTACAACAACTTGTCGCATCCTTTGAGATATACTAATGATGCGACAAAAGAAGTATTTGACACTGACCTGTCTCGGCACCCTGGGGATTTGGCAGTCCGCGTGTATGCACGCTCTGCAATCGTCTTCGATTCCATCCATTAGCCAGTCGTAGGGAGCTATTTGACTAAGTGCATTGTTTTAAAGCCACTCGTAGGGAGCTATTTGACTAAGTGCATTGTTTTAAGATTTAAAAAGTAAAGAATGTTTTATATTTTTATGTACGTTTCTTTGCAAAGCTATATTTAATTATAATTTTCTTTAAAAGTATACTCATATAATTGAAGAATATTTTGTATGTACCAGTTTGGCTACACGCCTGTTTTTATTATTATTAGTCTGTATAGTTTTAGTTTAATTTAAATTCTAGAATTTTCCTTCTTTCCGATTTCTGTGTTCCTTTGTCTCGGACTTCCGAGAACTCGCCTCACCCCTAACCCATCAGGGGGGGTAGCGTTAGAACAAAAGGAGAAAACGAGGCTGGAGGGGAAAAGAAGAGTTTCTAGAAGCATTCTTAAGCCGGACTCGGGGAGAGACAGACGAGTGGCAGCAGGCTCTTGAACGGAAAGTCGAGGAGCGCTGCAGAAGGAGGCCGTAAGAAGCGGATCGGTAGAAGAATCCGGTCGACGATTATAGAGAAAAAACCCCAAAAACTAAGAGAACAGACGAGAAAGAGAAGCCGAGATGAGGAACGGTGGAGAACCAACTGGAAAATTGAGTACCCTTCTGTCCTTTAATTCTTCTCATTTCCCCTTCTACATTTTCTATTTTTAGTTTAAGTTAGTTTAAGGTTTACGCGTGCAAATAAATTGTCGGGAGATAGTTATCGAGAAATTAACTACCGGTCTATTGATATACCTGGTCACTCAAGATTGTGGAACCGTTTGAAGGAGAATAGCGGGAATCCGACCTATTCTGTATATATATTTCAAATTCAGCGCGAAATTAAACTCATTTAATTGGTAAAACGTGTATGTGTTTACCTATCCGCGTTGAACATTTCACACCAGTACATCCACCACATATTTTATTTCACAAAGTAAGTTTTTATTATTTTATTTTTAATTGTAGCCCTTATATCGTGGCTAGCGATTCGGAATGTAATTGTGATATTAAAAATGCATTTAGAGAAGTCTACGGTTTTTACTGGCTTATCGAATAAACGATACGAACGGACCCTAGACCATCACTGACGCGCGATTGACTGATTGCCCCTGGATGTCGGCTTCTTACAGAAACACAGCTTCCCTATCATCAAATGTCACGGCACGCCCCTGGTGCAAACTCAGATCATATGAAAGTGGCCTATAACCAGTTTCCCATAGAAAGTCCTTACGGGATGCATCCTTCCCATTCGCAGATTGCCCATATCTCGCGTTGTCGTGTTCCATTATCAACCAAACCGTTGGGTCTCGTTCCTCATCATCCGGTCGCTCCCGTTGTGGGCATGGCCAACCCAGGATGAGTATGGGGGAAAAAGGCTTTTTAGTGCCCAGAGAACGAAAAGAGTAAAAAATAAAATAATGATAATAATCAAATAAACATTTAAAACTCTCTTCTTACATAACAAGAAAATATTTACATGAAATTTATATAAATTGAATCTATTAAATATCTAAAATACTATTAGAAATGTATTTATTCGAATAAAGAAGTCCACTAAAGAAAAAAAATTAATAATAACAAGCTTGTAAACAATTTTCTATTGTAATTCATCTCCTGTGTTACGAGTTGTTTTGTACTGCACAAGCTCCTAGAAACGTCACAAACATGTGACAATGACGTCACGAACTCTGCTGTTGTAGAAGAAAGAGAAATTAAAACAGAAGGTAAACAATAAATCTTATTCCTTATATATGACCGAGGATCTGAAATAATATTAAATCAAAGTAGAATTGTTTAGAAAATATTTATTTATTTTTTTTAATATATATGTGCAAACAATCAACCATTGTATGATGAAGTGTGTTAATGGACCAATCATTATTACTAGTGAATTGTGGATAATAGTTTTTTTAATCACACTTTAATCACAGATTAAATCATTTTAATAATATTAATAAGCTTTTATTATACTATATGAAGTAAATCTGTGGACAGAAGAACAATGAGACTTTGCTGCTATTAATGCAACAATTTGAATTCTTCAAAAACTGATAATTATTTTGAAATTTTTTATCATCTAAATAGTTTGGTTATGAATCAAGCATTTAACATTTACTACTGAAATTTTAAAGGAATTCAGTAAATACACAATGTTATTTCTTTCTTTCTTTCTTAGCATTTGTGAATTTTACTGAAACAACCAAATATTATAGAAATAGAAAAAAAGTTTTATTTAGTAAGAAAATCAACACCTTACATAAAAAATTCTTTTCAATGTGGATTTAAAAATTATTGGTTGGTCATTTATAGAATTGCAGATAATAGTTCTGTAGAATATGCACTTTCATAAATATTTACAAATTTTATAGGGGAGCTGGCCAAATTCTTGAGCATCTCTTCATTCTCTTCCACTCTGTTGTGTACAATGACGTACTTTTGACAAACCTTGTGTACTTGAGTATACAATAGTTCATGAACCCTCCTAACATTGAAGAAAAGACAAAAAATTCTGCAGATATTTTCTAACTGATAATTTACCCATATGACCATAAGTAGACTCATAAGAACAAATTTGTATGTTACTAATACTACTAAAAAAGTTTACCTTGACCCTCTTCCCCATTGTGTAGGATCCATCTACCAAAGCCAAATGTTATTGGGCTAGAAACGACTATAATACTAATGAATAATACTAATAAAAGATGTTTGATTGTGTAGGATGATGTACTTTTTGCAATCCCTCGACCCCTTAAACTGTGAATATAATTTAAGACCCCTATCCTACATTTTTAGTTTGTAAACCTAAATAATATTACAAAAACAAAAAAATATATATATATATATATATTTGATTTTGATTGTATAAATTGTATTTCTCAAATATATATATATATATATATATATATATATTTGAGAAATACAATTTGCTAAAATTAGTACTAAAAATATTTTAAAGTTAATTATGAATATTGTACTTATGTGGTCTTTAGTATATTTTATAATTTTCTTATTTGAATTATTTGACTGACCATATGTTTAATGCTTTCAAATTCTTTGTTGCAATGAAAATAAATATTTTTTTAATGGTATTATTGACCTTCTGTTTTGAAGTTTAATGAATCAGAAGTTTAAAGAAACAAAAAGTATTTGTAATGTTTCATTTTAAATATGTTTTTGTTCATATTTTCACAAATGAAATGTTTTCATGAATGTCCTTCAACAAAGACTGCAAAAACAAAAGGAAACAGATTAATATATCATATAATAAATATTTTAAAATTCATAATAATTAAGCAGAAAATTGAACTACAGTAGAGCATCTATTATCTGACTCAATTGGGGACTCAGGTTGGTCGGATAACCGAAAATAATGAAAAAAATACATTACAGTATTAGTATATTAGGATATCCCATGTAATTAGTATATTGCTATTAACCAACTTCGCGTTGAATTTTCATCAATGTTTAGCCTAACAAATTTTTAAAAATAATAATCTTTGATATTGTATCGTTAAAAATTATTTTAAAATTATTTTATTGCTCACAAAACAATCACTCATAATTAGAAAATTAAATCTCGTTTAAATACTGTCCTCCCTTCAATGGTCGCCAGCTAAAACACACAAAAATAATAATAAAATATCCAAGACATAGCCAAATATTGTAGCGCCACATCACTAGCGGGCATTTGAAATTTGCCGACTAGAATGGTTGGTTAACCGATGTAACGGTTAATCGGGGGTCGGATAATCGATGCTCTACTGTACATATATTAGGACAATTGTATTCAACTAGCCAACCTTAAATAATTCAGAAAACTGAAAAGTATTTAAATATATTAGAATATCAATTATCCAAAATAATCAAGGTAGATAATTTCAGATAACTGATCATACTTCGTAGAGAAAGAATGAAAAGCTACATACTTTAAATAAAGCAAAAATATTAATTTTAATTCTATTACAATAGTAAAAACAATTAAAGCATAGAACTGTAATACAAACAAATGATAAGAAAATAAAAATAAGCTCTAATCTTTCATTGCAATCTACAACATACTGATGAAACTTCGAATTCAAAGTAAAAAATACATAATAAATAAAATTAAATAAAGTATTCATATAATATAATAGTATACATATAGTATATAATAAAGTACTCGTGTAAAACTTATTTCAAAACAAAAAACTGTAATAAATAAGTCATTTATTTTGATTTTTTTAATATATTTTTTTAATGCTGCTGAATTCCTTGATTATCACAAAAGTTAAAAACTCTGCTTCAGGTTTCATTTCTAACCATTCAGTGCTGTTTCTAATTCATCAAATGCTTCATTACATGTAGGTAGAGTGAAGTGTTTGATGCATGAGAAACCTGTGACTCATTAATCATGCTTTTCTATTTGTACTGTAACAAAACAATAACAAAAAAATCTGCATTATTGGAGATTGTTCAAATAACATGTTTCCTCTTGTGCTTTTGGGCAATTAAACCCAACATCAGGAGACACACAAGTGAATCAATACAAGTTGATCAATCTAGTTTTATTGTATTTTGTCTCTTTCTACCCTGTGAGCACTAAGTCACTGTGAGTTTTTAGTCACTAGAGGCCTCCTTATTATAGCTAAGCCAGATTGCAAAGCAAAAAAAAATATTCATTCGTTACCAAATCAATCAGCAAATTTTTTAATTCACCCAAAATATAAATTAGAGCTTATTGCCCCTTAAAAGACAAGAAAAACCCACAAGGAGGTGATATTGCCCAGATTTAGAAACTTCTAGAGCTATACTCACCTTAGCCATCTGTCCATCTAGTTTTAGTTATGAAAAAACATTTTGCTTCAAATTTCATAATGAAATTTCAAAAATCATAACAAATTTGTTGATAGTTTGGCAAATAATAAGACTTTTTTGGTAAAAAAATGCTTAGAATTTAAAGTCTATTTGTTTTTTTAAATATTTCTTAATATATAGATTATTGTTAGCATAAAATATTAATTAACCAAAATTATGAAATGTTTTCAAGAACCTTGTTATTTTATCTTAAAAGTATATTTTCCTGAATATCAATAGAAAAGATTTGATTTTAATATGTGAAATTTCTCATTTTTTGAAGAAAATGTTATTTTTTTAATTGCAGATATTTATATTTCCTCAATGAGTGAATCAAATAAAATATTTAAATATATGTTGAAGTTTTCAAATTATTTTAAATTATTTTATTTTTCACATTATTATGTTTTATTGAATTGTTATTATGTAATTTTACTACAGTACAATAATTTTTCTTGTAAACTTTTATTCATTTGTTTAATTTTGTTTTTGTATACATTATATAATACAGGGTTCTTATTTGGGGCTGTACCTTTAAAATTGTGAATTACAGTGGACGATCAATTAAAGAACAGTTCAGACTGCAAACAAATCGGACGACGAACACTTTTGCAAAAGAAATTTCATGCTTAGGGCATTATTTACTTCTTTTTGTAAAAATATAATAAATAAAAATAAATAATTAAGTAACTGAACTTAGGTCTTCAGAAATATGTAAGGTATCATAAAGTCCATAAAAAAATTAAAGTAGTTAGCAGTTTTTAAGAACTTGGGTATAGAAAATTTTGATTTATCAAGGTATAAGCTTTTTTTTAAATTGAAAAAATTTCTGATTTAAAATTTCATTTGGCAGCCATTACAGATATTTTTTCATGTAATCTCTGGAAGTACTTTGCATGCTCCAGGTTGGGAAACTCTGTTCTAATTCATGTAGTAGTCAGTATGTATGATTACTGTAAGTAATCTGTTTCCATTCTTTGTTAAAATTGATGTTTAATATTAAAAAAAAAAGAAAGCATGAATAATTTTTTTGTTATACTGTAATAATTAAAATACGTAAAAAAATATTTTTTCATCTAAATTACCTTCAGTTAAAAGTAAAAATGAATTATAATTTTGTCAATTCATTATATTCTTTTTGAATAAATAAAATTTTTTTCAGGATTTATTTATTTTTAAAGTAATAAAAATAACACACTTCTAACTATTCTAATCAACAAGTTTTTAATTGAATATTTCTATTTAATTATAATACTTTCAATGAAATTGGTTTTTGAGTTGATGCCACCTTTTTTTTTTTCTAAAAGTTTCTTCTAATCCACTGCTGAAAATTAAAAGATTCTTTTATAAATTTATTTTTATTTAATTGAACATTCTTTTGTTTTTAAATAATCATTTGAATAAGTTTTGTTCAACTTACTATTGCAAAATACAGTGGAACCTCGGTATACGACCTTAATCCGTTCCCGATGTTTGGACTTATACCGAATAGGACGTATACTAAAGCAACCTTTCCCATAAGAAGTAATGTAAAAATGATTAATCCGTTCTCAATTAAAAAAAAAAAGTGGATGGATTTAAACACCTCGCTTTTCTGGCTAATTCCTGCTTGATTTTTCATGAGATCAGCGTGTATCTTTTTAGCTTTCTCGCAAATAATTGCTTTTGATACGCTGTCGCCAGCACACTGTTTTTCAGTTATCCAAAGTAAAAGCAATTTCTCAACACGATCTAATGACTTCGATATGTTTAGAAATTGATTTAACCCCTTTCGCAATGTTATCAAATTTAATAATGTCTTTATTTTTTACGATTGTCGGTATCGTCGTTCTCGGAATACGGTATGCAACAGTTAAATCTCGAACACGCGTGCCACCTTCATATTTCTCAA